AACCGAGTGCCGCCTGTGGCGCCTGGTGGCCCGCGATCCGGAAACCCGGGGCCGACGCCGGGATTTCCACCTGCGCCGCGAAGCCGAGGCCGTGCGTAATCGGGTGGGGAGATGTCGGACCCGGCGGCGACAGGCCAGCGCCACCACCCTGCGCCGCGAAGGGAGGGGAACCGACTGGCCTGTCCTCGCACGGGGAGCGGGTTCCCAGCCCACCGGAGCCCGGCTTTGGGGACCTCCCACGTGCCGCTCTGAGAGGGGAGACTGCTGCGGCTTCAGGGGAAGACTGCACGCGGGCCTGGCCGGGAGCCGCGCCGCCTCTGTCTGGAGGCGTGCTCGGAATGGCAGTACTTTTCCACATGGACGGACAGATTTTCAGCTCCCTGCTCCTGGGCTGTGGCTTGGACACTCGAATTACCTCCATCTAGTCAGAAGCTGGCAGCAGGGCTCTGCCTGTGAAACCGGAACATGGTTGTGCATAAAGTTTCTATTGCGGGGGGGGGGGGGGGAATAGACTTCAGAGGAGAGAAAACCCCAGTTTTAGCGGGTTCCATTTCTGAATCTAATAACAACAATAATGATGATGGGATGATTTATTGAGCATGTAGAGTGTTCCAGACCCCACATAAAGTGCTTTGAGGATTATCTCATTTAATCCTCACAACTCCATGAGGTAGCTACTATCACTCCCATTTTACAGATGAGGAAACTGAGGCTCAGAGAGGTTAAGTGACCTGCCCAAGGCCACACAGCTAGTGAGTGGTGGAGACGTTTGAATCCAGGCTGGTCTGACTCCAGACTTGGGCTGGTAACCGTTTTGCAGCTGTATTCCTGAAGGAAGGGCAAAGGTGGCCTGGGAGAGCCAGGGCCGAGATGAAGAGGCGTGTCGCACAAGAGGCGCCACGGTTAGTAGGGCCAGAGCATCTGACTGGCTGTCGAAGACCCTTGGACGTGGGGAGGATGCACTGCCCGGGTTTCCCATCAATGTCGGTGGGCGAGGAGGCTGGCGGGAGCCAGCTTGCTCCCAAGCACCAGTCTTTGTTCCTGCTGGGCAGGGCCGGCAGGTCCTACTGGACGATTGTTCACGCGGTCGGTCATGGCCTAACCCGGCTCCCTGGGTGTGGCCCTGAGCAGATTCCGGGCACAGCTGGGCCCACACCCCCGCCGCCTCCACCGCATGGTGAGGCCGCCGGGGCAGTGGAAGTGGGCAGGATGAGGGCAATGTGCACAGCCGCTTGGGGCAGACTTCCTACCGTGTCTGAGCAGCTGGGTCTGGTGACTCAGCTCGGAGGGCAGCCCAGTGGACTGCCCGTGCAGATGGCAGCTGCAGTGTGGGTTCTCCTGCGTGTCCTGACTGACTTCCATCCCCAAGGGCTCCTCCATTCCTGGGCCCCTCTGAGGCAGCATCCCACCCACACCCCCCCCTACTGCCCCCCCCCGGGGTGGGGTCTCCTTCTGGAGAAGGCTGGTGACCAGCAGCCCAGCCCCATGCCCACTCTCACCTCCCACTCACAAGGGCCACGACCCCCACTCACCTCCCAGGCCCCAGAACCAAAGCCTCAGGTTCCAAAGCAGATCCACGAGCAGGAGCTGCTACCCCAAGACTCGCTGTCCCCCACCCCGCAAGCGGCCCCTGTCATCGGGAAACCCTGGCCTTCAGGAACGTGCAGAGATGACCTCGTGCACAAACTTCCTCACCAGCAACTGAAGTGAAGAGGTGGCAGCGGTGTGGGCGAGGGAGAGCTGTCCTCGACCCCAGGGTGAAAAGAGGCTGAGGAGGGGGGTGGACGGGCAGACCTAGCACGTGGACTGGGGCTTGGCACACCCACGTGTATGTATACCCACGTGCACATGTACACACTCGGCACACCTCAAGGTATGTACAAGTGTGCAGGAGCTCAGGGCATCTACATGGGCTCTCAGAGCTCGGGATGTGCACAAGCGTGTACCCCGTCTTAGCGCGGTGGCCTTTCCAGGCAGTGGTCCGCCAAGAAGTGGCGGCCCTGTAAGGAAAGCTCTGGGAGTGCGCGTGGGTGGCTGGGGTGGGATTTGTGCAGCCAGCCACCTCATGGTGTGGTCATCAACAGGCTAAAAGTGCCATGCCCAGGTAAACCCCGTGCCCATGTTGAATGCCCGGGTAAACCTCACACCCATGTTGAATGCCTGTGTTAAATGCCCAGGGAGACCACATGTCTGTGTTGAATGCCCATGTAAAAATGGTGTGGTGGGGGCGCTGACCTCCTGTAACTTCACAAGGGGCAGAGAGAGTCACCACCAGCATCAATAGCCCAAAGCTGATTTCTATGACATGGAGGTCAGACATACTTCCTCTCTCCGAACTTTTTACCATTTCTGACACCAACCGTCCCTCCTACGGCACTCTTTACGTCTCTGCTGGATTTGATAATTCATTGTAATAGCCACACAGGACTCACAGACAATACTCACTATTATGGGGTTTATTAGGGAAGCAGCAGGTTAAAATTCAGGATCTGGAACAACTCAGGATATAGTTTTTCGGTCAGGACAGCTTCTCGGTTGTGCCCACAGACAGGCTTCTCCCTGGCCCTTGGCCTTTCAGCCCTCGGCCCCTCAGGCCTCTTGGGCAGGCCTGGCCTCTGCCCTGCTTGGGCAAGTGTTATAAAGCTCTTTAGCTCTGCCAATAAGAGCCTGGGGGCACTTCACTCTGCCAGTAAGCCTCAGCCCAAAGGCCCTCAGCTCTCTCACTCCGTGGGTCAGCAAGCCTAGCTCCACTGACAAGTACCTGGAGGCACCCCACTCTTCCAGGAAACCTTCTGCCCAAAGACACAGCTCTCTCGCTCTGTGGGCTGGGGACCCACCACACTGTCTCCTGCTGATCTCCTTGTTCTGCTGCCACTGCTTCTTTCCGGCTGCTTCTCGCTGTCTTGTGCCATCTCTGACGTTACAGCTGTCTCCCTGTCTCCTGGGTCTAAGGGGCTCTCAGCATAGAGACCTGGGTCCAGAGGACACACACTTCTCCTGCCTCTTCTTTCTTGGTGGTAGTGAAGTCCCCCCTCTGCTCTGGGATTGGCTCTCTTTTAAGCCTAGTGGGGTGGCGAAACTGACCAATCCCCTCATTAGGGTTCTGTACACCTCATTTGCATGGTCCCACCCCCACAGACATTTCATGCTCCTTATTTGCATTAGTAGCAAGCTGTCCAATTCCCTCAGTGAGCCACAAGCACCTTATTTGCATAGTCTCACCCAATCATTTTGTAGGAGTCACAAGACTATGGGAGAAAGGCCATATAAAAGCAACTCATCATACCACAGCCTGTGTTAAATGCCCAAGGAAACCGTGTGCCATGTTGAATGCCCAAGTTTGGGGCTTGGTGTTTCAGTGACATGTTTGGGGCCAGCTGTGATGCTCACAGCCCGCTTGAGTTGAGTCCTGCCTGTGGCTGGCTGTCTCTGTGTACTCAGGCAGGTTACTGATCCCTTGGGCCACTCCCCTCATCCATCAGATGGACCTCATCCTCCCTGCAGGGCCTGGCCAGGTGTGAGAGCTCACCGCCACCATGCCAAGTGCAGGGTCACAGGGAGAGCCGTGCTAGGACATCACAGTGAGTGGTGTTCTTCAAAGCTGGCTGGTTCTGGCCCGGCTGCATCTGCCCCAGGCCCTCAGAGGAGCACAGCCTCCCGGAGACTTCCTTGAGCTCCAGGTGTGTGACTCTCGCTTGGAAGTAGCGTCTTTGCAGGTGTGATCAGTTAGGTTAACAAGAGGTCACACTGGGGCAGGGTGACAGACATGGCGACACAGATGTGAAGATGCATGTATGATCCAAGGAAAGCCACGGATTGCTGGGAGCCACCAGAAGCTGAGACAGAGGCATGGGACAGACTGTCCCTCAGAGCCTCGGAAGGAACCAACACGGCCAACACCCTGATCTCAGACTCCCAGCCTCCAGAACTGTGAGACAATCCATTTCTGTTCTTTGAAGCCACCCACTCTGTGGTACTTTGTTATGGCAGCCCCTGGAGACTAAGACAGACCCTTTCTCCAAATGAGCCCCCATTCGTGGTTCCGGGTGGACACATCTTTTGGGAGCCACCATCCTGCCCACTGCAGGCCCAGCGCAGGCCCAGCACATCTGTGGGTCTGAAGCAGAGCCTGACCTTAGCCACACGAAGTAGAACGTGGACGGATGGTGTTTGGAAGGCTCTGCTACCTGGCAGTGGGTGCCTCCCTCTCTAAATATAGGCGTGGGGCATGAGGGCGCTGGAGGAGTTTACTCCACAGGGGCTGGTTCCTTGGGGTCAGTGGGCAGACGGGCATTGGGGGCTGGATTGGGGGCAGGACAGAGGTGGGCTGTGGGGAGTTTGACAGAAAGATGGGGTTTGCACGTGGTTACTGTTGGCTTGACCACAGAACTTTGGAAGACTGTTGCCTGGTTTGGCGTTTTGAGAACTGGCCCCACCAGCAGCTCCCGAGCGTGTCAGGACCCCCCAGGCTCTTCTTGGGGCCTGAGGAGACCCCTGCAGTGAGCTCCCTTCTTTCCTCATGTCCATGCCCTCCGAACTTTGGACTAGGAAGGATTTCCTTTTCGTGCCAGGGTGCCAGGAGCTTCCCGGGGCAAGCAGGCCTAAGGTCAGGTTTGATGCACAATGTGGGGTGTGTCACGGGGGGAGCTGGGCTTCCCCAGCAAGCCTATCGGGGTGCTTTAGCTGCTTCCAGCCCTGCTGCTACCGGCTCCACACCTGCTCCTTGCCCGCCACAGCCCCGCAGCCCTGGGAAAATGTTTGCACTCTTGGGCAGTTCTGACAAGGGCACAGGTTCTGATAAGGATGGCGCCGGTTCTGATAACAAGGATGGTGGTTCTGATGAGGATGCTGGAATTGAGAGCCCTTGTCCAGCCGGTGTGGACCATCCCAGAGCAGATCCTGGGTCCGGGAGACTCGACATCTGGTGGCGTGGGCCTGGGTCAGAGAGGGTGAAGCCCTCTGAACTGTGGACACTGGGCGGGCAGAGCCGTTGCTGCCCCAAGCTGACAGGGTCTGGAACGTTCACTGTGATGAGAACGTGTGTGTGGGTAGATGCAGGTTCGCTAACCAGAAATTCTTCCTACAGAACACACAACACCTAGCTGTGCTCAGCCCCTTGAACACAACTGACGGCCCCCTGTTGCCGGACCTGAAGGCCCAGCACGGTTCGGGGATGCCCCAGCACCCTGCGGGGGACAGGCCCTTTGCCTCCATGCCCCAGCTCACCTTCCCCAGCTCCCCGTCAGTCACCGACGCTGGCTTTGACCGCACGCCCCCCAGCCAGAGAGCATCCCTGGGCACGCCTATGGGCAGTAGTGCCCTGGACCCCTGCAGCAGGCCCTTGTGCGAGCCAAGGGCTGGGAAGCAAGGCCAGGGTTCAAACTCTGAGGTACGCTATGTGTCCACGGGGCCGCCAGGCACGGCCTGTGGCTGGTGGGACTTCACGCCCGAGTGCCTGCAGGCCTTCAACACGCCGCGGGGCGTGCTGCTCTTCCTGTGCCTGGCGTCCTTCCTGCAAGGCATGACAGTGAACGGCTTCATCAACACCGTCATCACCTCCATTGAGCGGCGCTTTGATCTGCACAGCTACCAGAGCGGCCTGGTGGCCAGCGCCTATGACATTGCCGCCTGCATCTGCCTCATTTTTGCCAGTTACTTCGGCGGCTCCGGCCACAAGCCCCACTGGCTGGGCTGGGGCGTGATGCTTATGGGCCTGGGCTCCTTCCTCTTCGCGCTGCCCCACTTCACCGCTGGCCACTACAAGGCGGTGGCGGCCGAGGAGGTGGCCACCTGCCAGGGCAACCGTAGCACGGCCTGCACGGACAGCACCTCGGGCCTGTCCCACTACCATCTGGTCTTCATGCTGGGCCAGTTCCTGCACGGTGCTGGCGCCACGCCGCTGTACACACTGGGCGTCACCTACCTGGATGAGAACATCAAGTCCAGCTACTCGCCTGTCTACATTGGTGAGTGGTGCTGGTGGGGACAGATGGCTGGGCAGGCAGGTGGGACTATGCTTCCTCGTCTTTGGACCCTGTGATAGTGCCCTTGACAATGCCAGCCTTACCCCGTCCAAGCCCTCTGCCCACGTGGCTCTCCTGGGGTCTGGGTGTTCCTCTGTGACAGCAGGTGAGGGCCTGTTGTCTCACCTGGGGCAGCACAGGTGAGGGAGAGAGTGCTGCCTTCATCTGAAGCTCCTGCAGCAATGACACAGTCTTGGACGCTGCCTGCCCAGCTGCCTGGCAGGGATCGATCACAGTGCACCCACCATGGTCACACACTGGCAGAGGGCCCGTGCGGATTGGGTAGCAGCCGAGAAGCTGGCGCCGCCCCTTCCTGCTGTGGCCCTCAGGTGCCCCCAGCACGTTTACCTGGGGATGAGACTCTTGGGTGCAGATGAGTGACCAGGGACAGACCTCCTGGAACATTCTCAGGTCTCCCCTTACGCACCAGCTCTTCTCGGGGTCTGGCAGCAGGAGGGGAGGGTGGAGGGAACCCTGGAGGCGTTAGGCTTGGAGAGTGAGGACTCTAAGCAGAAAAACAAAACCATTCCAGGCTGTTCACATCCGTGAAGATTTGTATGTAATGAATCACAGGCAGCAGCGACATTGCCAGGTGTGGGCTTACGGGCAGTGCTCAGGCTTCACTTAACCCCCGAGCCCATCTCGTAGTTGTTGAAACTAGTGCAGAAGCCCCCAGCATGTCCGGGACCCTGCTCTCCCCTCCCCTGGGCTATGGCAGTGAGCCCTGCTGGCCCTCCTGAGCTTCAGCTTTGTGCTCCCCCCAGCCCCCAGGAAGGACCCCTTTGGGCCCGTGACAAAGGGCAACTGGACAGCAGGGTGGGGCTTCTCTTAGGAGATGGACCCTGCGTGTCACAGCTGGGTTCCTGTGTCGGGGCGTGAGCTCCCCGTGTCAGGGCGCGGGCCCCCCGTGCTAGGGCACAGTCCCCCCGTGTAAGGGCACGGGAACCCCGTGTCAGGGTGCGGGCTCCACGTGTTGGGGCGCGGGCTCCACATGTAAGGGTGCAGCCCCTCGTGTAAGAGAACGGTCCCCTGTGTAAGGGCGCAGGACCCCCATGTCAGGGTGCGGGCCCCCAGTGTCAGGGTGCTGGCTCCCCGTGTAAGGGCGTGGGTCCCCCGTGTAAGGGTGTGGGCCCCCCGTGTCGGGGTGTAGCTGTGAGCTGTGTCTGCACCCCGTGTACCCAGAGCGGCTGGCAGCCCTGACCGTGTGTTTCCTTCGCAGCCATCTTCTACACCGCGGCCATCCTTGGCCCCGCGGCCGGCTACCTGCTGGGGGGCACCCTGCTGAACATCTACACAGAGGTGGGCGGGCGGTGAGTGACCACGTCTGTGCACAGAGCGGCTTGCACACCTGGGAGGTCTCTGGCCTGGCTGTGTGTGGTGGGGAGTCCGGGCTGGTGGGCACCACCGAGCTGTTCAGAGCCCTAGAAGGCACAGTGGGGCTCCAGGGCAGGAGGGCACCAGGGCCTGCACCTGAATGGCCCCGGGGGGCTTTGGGGGTCTGTTGGTGAGGCCTGAGGGAGGCAGCGCTGGTAGACAGCAGCCGAGGCTCAGGGGCTTTCTGGAAGCTTCCTGAGATGTAGTCACAGTTTCTCTGGATCCCTTTGTGGTCTACGGTGGGTTTTCCTACTGCCTGTGTGGAATCCTTGTGTTTCTTCCGCTTCCCTGCACCTTTATTTGTGATGCTAGAGAGACAGAGAGAGTCAGAGACAGACGGAGAGGGGACCTGGGTCCCCGGCCACCAGGGGAGGCCGAGTGGCAGGGAGGCTGCTCTAGGCCGAGGGCCCGCTGTGCCACGGGCTGGCAGACCAGTGTGCAGAGGGGCTGCCACGTCCGCTATGGAGAGAGCCAGAAGGGTGCCCAGCGTGCGGAAACAGAGGACACTTGTTGCTGGGAGCACTGACTGCAGCACACTGTCTCTCCCCAGGACGGAGCTGACCACGGAGAGCCCGCTGTGGGTCGGTGCCTGGTGGGTCGGCTTCCTGGGTGCCGGGGCCGCTGCCTTCCTCACTGCCATCCCCATCCTCGGCTACCCGCGGCAGCTGCCAGGTGGGTGTCCCGCTCCCCTGAGTCTGTGCGGGGACAGACACCCTACTTCCTGCCCTTCCTGCTCCCCACACGAGCAGAGTCACAGCACACCCGTACCCTCCTGGTTGTTTTGAACTAAGAAGCATGTGGATGGTCTTGGGTCACAATCTCCCCAGGGTGGGAGGCCTGGCCTCGCTGTCCTGCAGGTCATCCCTGGGGGCCCATCCCCTCCTTGGGGGCTATGGGGGGGGCTGTTTTCAGCCAGGGGAGTGCCCTACCCTCCTTTCTCTTCCCTCTGGTCCCCAACCACCCACCCTCTCACCTCTGTTCCGCTGGCCACTCGGCAATGCCTTCGCCCACGGCTGTCCCACGCCGTCCCCTCGAACCGAGGCTGGAGCATGGACAGGCAGTGTATGACAGGAGGGGCTGGCACCCGTGGGACACAGCCACCTGCCAGCTCAGGCCGTTGTGCTGACCCCTGACACGTGCGCCCTTCCAGGTACCCAGCGCTACGTGGTCGTGAGAGCGTCGGAGACCCGCCAGCTCAAGGACGGCGGCCCCGGGACCACAGCCAACCCTGACTTCGGGAAAACCTTGCGGGACTTGCCTCTGTAAGCACCGGGGGCGGGGATGCTTGCGGGCCCTGTTCTGGGAGCCGCTGAGGGGCCCACAGCACTGAGGCTCTTCCTTCCGGATGCTACAGCCCCAGGGTCGGGTTGAGGGAGGGTTGGGTGACCCCTGCAGGGTCACAGGGTACGCAGCCCCCACAGCCCTCTTATTCACTGACGTTTCGGTCCGGCCCTGGGGCTACGGCCGAAAGGTGCAGGGGCAGCAGGGGGAGCCTCCTGAGGGGAGGTCATGGTCCTGAATTAGGGCTCCAGCTCTGAGGACCGTCCCACAGGAGGTTTAAGTCCTCAGCCTGGGTGGCCCATGGCCCTGGACTCACGCCGCCTGCCTAGCCTGGGGCGTCTGCCTTCAGAGATGGGTGCACTGAGCACCCCTGTCCTCCAGCACCTTCTCGGCCTGGCTCTGCATGGCTGATCTATCTGGCCACGCTGGGGGTGGGGCTGCCAGCCATGTGATCAATTCACCCTCCTCCCTGAGGGAGGATGGAGGGCATCAGGCCCCGGGACCCCCTGCTGCCCTGCCTCCCTGCTTCCCATGTCTTGTTTGATTGACCGCCTGGAAGAGCTGGAAGCTGCCCGCTGGGGGCCAGCCCGAGGCACGGCTGAGTGAGCCCAGGGCCAGAATGACCGGTATTACTGGGTCATCATGAGACAGCCAGCCTCCCCTCTCCCAGCACCCAGACACCGAGGGGCTCGGGTGGAGGGCTGGGGACAGGGTGCGCCATAGCCTGGTGCCTGTGTGGACAGGGGACGGCAGGCCTCTCCCAGCACCCAGACACCGAGGGGCTCGGGTGGAGGGCTGGGGACAGGGTGCGCCATAGCCTGGTGCCCGTGTGGATGTGGGGATAGCAGGCCTCTCTCAGCACCAAGACACCAAGTGGTTTGGGTGGAGGGCTAGGGACAGGACGCACCATAGCCTGGCGCCCGTGTGGATGTGGGGATGGTGGGCCTCTGCAGTTCCTCAAGTAATAAGGAGGCTCAGGCCCCGGCTTCTTTCCCCAAACTGGCTTCTATTAATAGAAAATTCTGGAACTTGTGTCCTCTATAAGGCCATGACTAATTCCTGAGCTAATTCAGCCCAAGAATTTCAGCCAAGGAAGCTGCAGACTGGGACCACGAAACAAGGAAGTGTGCAGACCGCCAGGAGGGTCTCCCCTCATTGACGAATGTGGCAGGTGTCCCCAGACCCCGGGCATTTTCCACAAGGGCAGGTTTGGGCAAACCCAGGAGGGGGCCGGCAGCCCCACCCAACGCCAGGCTGGGGAAAGAGCTGGCCGGTGACTGACGCCCAAGCCAACCCAGCCCAGCCCAGCCCCCTGTGTCATTCTGGGGTGGGATTTCCTCCAAGCTCAGTCTTCTATTCCTTCTTTGAAACATAGGATACAAATAGCTGGCCTGAAAGAAATGTTTTTCAGCCCTGAAGTCTGCAAGACCGCTCTGAGAGGTGCGGCCCCCGTTTTTATCACGAGGGGAGCAAAGGGAGTGTGCAGTGTCTGTGCTTGGACAACGGCAGCCCTTCCGTCAGCATCTCCACGACGTCAGTGTCTCAAAGCCAGAGCAGGGCTGGCCCTTCCTTACCGTCAGCGCCCCCAGAGCTGCCTCCCGGGAGTTCTGAGGGTCAAAGACTGGTTATAGCCTTTGAACCCCAAACGGCCTTTGCACATTTCTACTTTTTCAGAATTTAGTTCATTCTTGGCCTGTGGCCTCCGAAATGAAGCGCATTTGAGGGCTAAGATGTTCAAAGCGGCTTCAGCCAGTGCTCTGATCCCTCACGGCGGCTTGCTAGGCTGGCTCGGGTGGGGAAGACAGGGTCCCTCTCTCGGAGT